GAACCTCTGTTTTTCTTGAATATGTTCGTTAGTTCCAGCAACTCTTGTCGATATGATAGTTGATATTAAAGTGTGTTGATTGACTTAAATTCCTTTATGTTTAATTAATGCCTCATCTGACTTATATCAGTTTTACTCTAGGTATCCTTGTTGTAATCAAACCATATCATAAATCCTTTTGTTTGTTTGTTTCTAAACAAATTAAACATGTATGTCTTATTATAAACTTAAAATAAGACCCAAAACATGATCGCTTTCGAATAGTTGACTATTCTTCTTCAGGAGAAATGTCTTATTATACTATTCTTTTCTGGGAATTCTTTTCTTATTAAATTAACTTGTTTGTGAGCTAGAATTTTAGCCTGGAAATACAAAAATCCAGTCACAAATTTTAAGTTTACAAATCAGGAAATAATACATTCACCCTCACACTTCAGAATTACTTTACATTAGACAATTTTCAATTGTAATATTGTTCACTTAGGTTAAAATTCCCTGCTGTTGACTGAATTTCAAAACTAAACTTGTTAAATCTTATCCCAGTTTCATCTTCAAATTGTTGTATTTTTAGTCCCAAAAAAGTGATTTTTTTAAAATCATTCTTTTATTGAATTAGCAATTATTTGTCCCGATGCCTCTCGGCAAGATTAATTTCTGTTTAGGCTAGGACTAAAACACAGAGTAACATTCTTAACTAATGAATGTCACCCAGTAGTTGTCAAGTAATTAATCATAAATAAATTTTATTACTTGAAAATTTACTTCTATAAAATATCATCTTCATAAAATGTTTGATCTGAATGTATAGATTAAAGTCATTCTGCTACAATTGAAACAAAGGCAATGAAAAGTGAATCATAAATAATCTATTACGTCACACTCAACTGCTACTAATACTATCTTGAACTAACGAGCATTATTAAAAAAAATCAATTCTACAAGCATGTATTGTTTTAATTTGAAAAAACTGTTAAATAAACTATTATTATTTTTCACGTGCAAAGACAGTAAAATAAGTAATAGTAGAGAGAGATCTTCATTAAAGAGCCAAGGATATTTTATTCAACTGGCCAATGTGTGATTTTATCATCAACTTATGTAGAGGTTTCGTCACTAAACTTAAACTCAATTCGTTTGAGAAAGGGATTATTTATTTTAAAATGTTCTGTAATGTTTTTGTTTACTCTGTACAAGAGGGCAAGGATCTGCAAGATCTTATTTTCTTTTTTTATTTCTTCAAAAGATACTTCCCTTGGGCCTATCAGTTTTGTTTTATATTGCTAATAGCTAACTTTTACTAAAACATTTGTTTAGGTTAATATGAATGCTAATTTTCTAGATCGTGGTGTTTTGTAGAGAAAATATGTATTAAAACATCTTTGTGTCAACCACTTAAGTATATAAAAATTTAACTTTTTTTGTCTTAAGTTGATGTTTTTATAAGTTTTATTTAATTATATGTAACATTGTTAGTATAGTAATGATCTGATAAAGTTAAAATCAAAGTTATAATCTGAAAGATTAGTTTTTCTCTTTGCTTTAATAGCCTGAAGATATATGCAACACACAATGTTCTGACGACAGTATTCAGGCTTTAAAGGAGTTCTACGTCACATGTCTTGAATCGGTAGAAAGTCTGTATAAACTGAATGGTCAGCTTGTCCAGTTTGTTAACATGATGGAGAACTTAGTCACAGGTATTGTGTATAGAGTGTTGTAATTGTCCTAAAATAAAAAGATAAACATGTTATTGTTTGGTTGTATAATGTTTTTGGTGTTGGCAGGATTTGGATTTTTTTTTGTTTAATGTAAATGGTCATTGTTTGCTAGCTATGTCAGGGCTGTTCACATTTCAGTGTCATTCACTATTATTATTTATCAACAGTGTCACACATTCAGTTCTGTTTACTGTTATTGTTTATCAACAGCATCACACATTCAGTTCTATTCATTGTTATTGTTTATCAACAGTGTCAAGCATTCAGTTCTATTCATTGTTATTGTTTATCAACAGTGTCACACATTCAGTTCTATTCATTGTTATTGTTTATCAACAATGTCACACACTCAGTTCTATTCATTGTTATTGTTTATCAACAGTGTCACACATTCAGTTCTGTTTACTGTTTTGTTTATCAACAGTGTCACACATTCAGTTCTGTTCACTGTTATTGTTTATCAACAGTGTCACACATTCAATTCTGTTCACTGTTATTGTTTATCAACAGTGTCACACATTCAATTCTGTTCACTGTTATTGTTTATCAACAGCATCACACATTCAGTTCTGTTCACTGTTATTGTTTATCAACAGTGTCACACATTCAGTTCTGTTTACTGTTTTGTTTATCAACAGTGTCACACATTCAGTTCTATTCACTGTTATTGTTTATCAACAATGTCACACATTCAGTTCTGTTCTCTGTTATTGTTTATCAAGAGTGTCACACATTCAGTTCTATTCACTGTTATTGTTACCAGTTTGCCCCTGAAGAAGAAAGGTCCACCTTTCGAAAGTGCTCGGGTTATAGGGTTTTTATTCATTGTTACCAATCTAATATTGTATTTTAACAAAAATAATTCTAAAGATTAAACTATATTGACAGTTATCTGGAGTATAATATAAAAACCTTATGTTTGAACATAAAATTAATGTTGATATTATAGGATTTCAAACAGAAGTCTTGAGTTTTTGATCAGTTATCACTGATTCTCTGGTATTGTTGATCGCTCTCTGATATCATAATTGAAAATCAGTTTTCAACATTTTAACAAGTGTCATCATGCAATCAAATTCACTAAACGAAAAGTATAAGGTGGGTATTTCTTTACGGAAAGCATAGACGCATATACTTTTTCTGTTTTTCAGACACGAATGAAGGGCGGCAAGGAACTAAACTGATATTTTTCTATAGGTTATATAGATACGTAGTTCTGTCCCATCAAATCAGTTTTAATATCAGTTGCTTTAAGCACGAGTTCTTGAGGGAATGAATAAAATTTTGTTTTATTTTTTACAGTGACGTGTAAAGAGAAATAACACTATACTGTGTATTACAGAAATGATTGTAGCTAAAGCTAAAAGCTCGTCGTTTTTTTTTCAGTGAGTTGACCCGTACAAACAGTAGTGGAAATCAATTTCATAAGCTAAAAATAACTGTTATTTGGGAGTGTGATAAAGGCGTCATAAACTGAAGCAAACGACACTGAAATTTAGAATATATCATTGAAAATGTTTAACTAGTTTTGGAGAAAACTATTTTATATATATATTTCATATGAATAAAAAAAGTCTTTGTTGTTAACAAATCAATTATTAATCCAAAAGGTCCTGAAGACTTGCTGATAAGAAAACAGCTGCAGTCTTTGGCCGTGAGTCTCAAGAAGTCTCTGACGGACTTGATGAGTCAGAAGTTTTTGGGTGAGACTAGTGATTTTTCTACTATAACCAACAACAAGGACAACAGTTCAAGCCCCGTATGTGCTGCAGAAGTGGATGTAAGGTTAAAGGTTGCACATCATGATGCTGCCACATCATTGAAGAAACTACAGGATTCTCTGAACCAGTAAGAGAGTGTTATGTCTGATATTTAAGTTAAGAGTTTAATGTATTGTAAGTAAAGTTATGGAATATATAAATAATATTCACTGAAGGTAATTGTTAGTTATTTAATATTTCAGGTAACCAGTTCAAAGTGTGGCTTAACATGCAGTTAGTTATGGAATTTTCCTAAAAGTCTTACACTAACATTAATATTTGATTTGTTGCTGTTTCCTCGATAACTTTCTTTTTATTGAAATCAACTGCTATAGTTTGACAAATTCAGTTCCATTTGGATGAGGTTTTTCATTCTCTGTTTGAATGTTTGTCCCCATATTGGGACCATGGGAGGGGTGTTGTCTATCCTGTGCCCCACCTCCAGTTTCAGATTCCAAATACTGATGTAAAAATTCTATGACACCTATAAGTCAAAAACTTAAATGAAATAGAAATAAAGGTGAACATAATAGTAATAATTTACTCAGAATTAAAGGTTTAATAATATAATAATATGGAAAACTACATTCATGTGAATGTTCATTAATAACTCCATCATATGTTTAATTAATTAACACTTAATATCCCTAAGTAAGTGTTTTTCTCCCCCTATTACTTACTGCATGTGCTGTTGTCAAGTCAGCTTAACCTACAGAGACAAGAGCCTTTGGGTTTGGAGTTTATTTTTAAGATCTGGCTACTTTGTAATAGATTTATTACTTTTGGATACATGTGCTAAAATGGGTTCACTGTTTCTTTGTTGCCCTTAGAAAGTGTGTTGGTTGATTGAGATCATAGAAACTTTTAAATTCAGCTGTGTTTGTTACTAGTTTAAAAATGTATTTGATTAAAGACTGCTGTGGACATTATTTGTTTTAAAAGTTTTTGGACGATGTTTCGAGCAGCTAGTGCAGATCTTCGACGGGACAAATTGATTAAATTGTGTACGTGAAATATTGCTGAAACACGGCTGTAATTTGAGGATGGTGAATGCATTTCTGAAATGTGTAAAAAAACATGCTTAACAAAACCCCAACAAGAAAATACAAACACTGTCTGTAAGATTCTGTGCTTATGAGGTAAAACATATATCAGAGAAACCAGCAGAATGTTAAATAAAGAAACATCTCCTGACTTCTTTTTCATCCAGAAAAATTGGCCCTACCACAACACAGTTACAACATTGAACAAATCATCAATTTGAACCAACAATGAATACTTGACTACGCACATCGTTGGAAAACCAGGAAATACAAAGAAGCCTTTGATGTCAACCATCCCCAAACTGTATTAAAGACAGATTTCAATCGATTGTGAACGTTTTTTTCCACAATAATGAATAGAACGAGCATCAAAGTATATGTTTACACGTTAAGTTCTGATGATGTCGTGCCTCTTATTCGAGACTCAGAATTCTCTGCTTTAGTTACATTCTACCATTTTTCAATCTGTCTTTTAAATTACGATCGTGTTTCAAAACTATCTAATGAAGATCTGCACTAATAGCTCAGAATATTGTCCAAAAACTTCCAAGGTAAATCCAGTCCACAGCAGCCTTCAATCAAGTACAGTTTCCTTTGTATAACGTTTATCTTAAACAAGTTTATAAACGGCTCTTGTTTACTGTAGAGCAACTCCTCGTAAGGGTATTCTGAAGTCTCCGAAAGCAACAGCAAAAGCTGCATTGTCTTCCACTTTAAATTCAAAGAACTCTATCCAGGAAGGATTAGACTCGAACGATAGTCATGTTACAGCATGGTAAGAATGATTACTTTTTTTATGTTGTTCCTTAAAAAAAAATTTACAAATATTGAAATGTTCATAAATCAAAGGTATTTCTAAGATAGTAGAAAATGATAGAAAAAATCTCACAGTCATCGAAAGCATTTAAATCAACTGTTTTTTTATGCATTTTATAAAAAATTAATTAATTTTTTAATTTAATTAAAAATGTTTCATTTGATATGAAAATTAAGTCAGTAGTTATGAAAGATTTGGGAACTAAAATTCTATATATTTAAAATCTAAGAAAATTGTGCTTTCTCAGAAACATTTGATCAGATCAGGGTTTGCGTTAGGTTTTATTCAGTAATACAGATATTTGGTTACAGTTTTCTTCTTACGTGAACTACAGAAAATAAGCGACTACTTGAAAACACATTTTGCCATAACTATTTGTACAAAGAAGACTTATAACTTTTTGACTATTATTTATTATTTATTAATTTATTATTTATTTATTTATTTATTTATTTATTTATTTATTTATTATTTATTAATTTATTTATTTATTAATTTATTATTTATTTATTTATTTATTTATTAATTTATTATTTATTTATTTATTAATTTATTATTTATTTATTATTTATTAATTTCAATTTTAAAAAACTACAAAATTGACAACTGACTGAATACACTACTGCCACCGGTAGAAGGGATGTCACTAAACGTGCAGTTTGAGAGGTTGGCACTCGTATTCTGTGACGAGAAGCTCTCCGATGCCGGTAGCCTTTCCAGAGTTTTCTCCGAACAACTGATGGTACTGCACATAGATTCCAGGACGGAAGATGATTCATTCTTTAGAGCAGAGTCGGTGAAGTGAACATGACGGCTCGGTTCTTCACCCCCAATGTTTCCAAAATTCAAATGTTGGCTACAAAACAGATTAAAAAACAGTTTCTTAATGAACTATCTGAGAAAGAGGTTATTGACCTGTAACTTTCATTATTAATTTACAATTGTTTTGAGTAAGAACTCCTGTCCTAAAGTGTGCCAATATGAACAATTTCTTTCGTAAGTTACAGTAATATAAAACTGTTTAAGATAGTTATTTTGGGTTATGTAAACAATTAAGTATTTCAGTTTGAATTTTGATTTTAAAGTAAAAGAGAATTTTGATGTACAGGTATGTATTCGAAGATTTGGTGCTCATTCTAAGCCCCCCTCTTCAACACTTTCTTAAAGGTTTTGTTTGCATTATGTGCATTGTTAATATTCTTTATTAATGATCATCTATTGTGTGTATCTTCAGTAGTCTTCCTTGTATCTTCAGCATCTCTGTTGTTATCACCTTCAACGTCTCTACGTTATGAGGGTTCTCGTCATTTCTGTCTTCAGCAGTTTTATTTTCAGTATTTCTTTCTCAGGTGGATTTTTTTCATCTTCATAGGTGTTTTTTCATGCTTAGTAACCCTAACTTTATTGAGTTTTATCTGCAGTCTTTCTATATTTGATGTACATTTTTTTTACACACGTGCATTCTGAACTTTCTAATATATATATTCCAACTTCGATATCAGTATTCACTACTTGTGGCCACATTTTTAAAGTCTGCATTGAGAGAGGGATTCCCGTTGAACATCTTCAATATGACAGGCTTTCTCTTTCACTATTTTTTGGATTTCTTATTAATCAAGATTATTAATTGATTATCTGATGGTGTTATTGATCAGCCAGTTTCTCCTTATTGTCAATCTTTTATTCATTTTGAGTACCATCAAAAACTTTGTGATTGACTGAGGAGCTAGCATTACTTTCAGAAAATAGTCCATTCCAATTAGAAAGTATGGTGTAATTTTTCAGGATTATGGCACGTTTGATTGCTATAAATATTTCTCAGTCTCTTTTTTTTCCCTCCTCAAAAACCACAAATTTTTTGTAATTCCTCAGTGTCTAGCTTTCAAAAGAGAAAATCTAAGATTTATTGTTTTTAAAAATTAAGAAACAAAACTTTTTGTATTGTTGAATACCCCATGATTGAAGTCTTCTAAGGTGCAACCTGGTGGTGAAAATATGAACTAAAAGCTTGTGTTGAAAAGGCTGTTGCTCACTAATGCAATAACATAATTCATATTTAATTCACAGAAGAAAGTGTTAAAGGATATAGTAATCTATCAATATTATAATTTGTTTTATAGAATCTAGCGAGTTTGATCGTAATTGTTAATCAACGTTAGCAGGTTTGAGCGTAATTGTTAATTAACATTATAAACGTTTGCAGTCAGATAAGTAGTTAATTATTTCTCTGAAATAATCGTGTTCTCTGATTTAATAGTAAAAAAAAACGTGAAGTTATTTTTTTTCTTCACATTATTAGCTTGTAATAACATCATTTGGCTTTATTATATATTTATACATATTTGTACGCTGGTTGAAAACTAACATAAGCTTTTCATGCAAAATACTGTAAATTAGATGTATACGTGCTCAAAATTACTGTTGCTATTTATAAAACGAACAACTCTTTTTTTTTCTGCTTATTGTTTTTTTTCATTGTATAAAATTTAGTTTTGTAAAAACTTTTTTTTATCAATAAAATGTAATTCTGTTCAACTTCTTTGTGAAATTTGCAGTTGGATTTTCGAGAAGGATAAACTTGCAATTAGAAACTAATTTTTAACAATCGGTAGAGAAGTAGCTCTGAAGATCGAGTAGTTGAATATTTATGTCACAGCCCTCTGGTTAGTGTGCCAGGCTGTGGAGCAGCTTCGGCCATTGGTGTATCATAAGAGTGACAGTCGACCGAATGAAGTTCAAGAGTTGGAGGTGGAAGGTGTTGTACAACTTCTCTGTCAATTTAAAATTGCAGGCAGCTAATGCAGGTAGCCCTGTTGTAATCTTGCTCAAGTTGCTTGAAATTTAAAATAAAACCAACATATCACAGCACCCCTTGTGACAGAAATGTATGGAATATCTGTTTCTTCACTTACTTGTTTTCAATCAGTGCAATGAGCCAAGAAGTATGAGGCCAGCTTATCTCACAGGAAATTTACACTTAGATAATTTAAATCTGATATTCAATAGGGTAACAATGTCTTTACAAAAAAACGTTGTGTTGTGTTTCATATTAAGTTAAGTACATAACTGTAAATCCACAATATTTAAAATGAAATCTTTTACTGGAATAAAGGGTAATGTATACAAAGTGACAGAAAAAGATTCTCCTTATCATTGATTGACAAATGCTACAA